AAAGAAGTTATTAATTTCCTACAACTGACAAATTCAAGGGAATATTTTTTTCGACCCTTTTTCATGCAACCGGATGGGACGTACTATGTGGTGGTATTACACCTGAAGACCTAACCTCATTTATTTTAAAAACACATGAACTATTGTAATAACAATACGTGAAATGTAAAATATTACAATAGAACTGTAGTGAAATAAAGAGAAACTGCGAATAGATTTATTTACATGACGTAAAGATAGCCGGCAATTTAGAGTGTGGGGATATTATATGATTTCCAGTGAGACAACTAATTACAGAGGAGTATGTTCACAAAGGGTCATAATTGGTCATAAAATGCCATGAAATGTACCTTCAGTAAATAAAGTAAACAATTGATGTATAAATATCTGACAAATACAAAACCAAAAGGTTCTGACGCATAACAATAGTATTATGTTATGACGTCATTATTGATCATTCTTCTGGGGAAAATTATAATTTTGACTACTATTTGACTCAATAATGGTAGTTTTTGTGTCAGAAAACGTTAGTTACATGCATGGACCACTTTTGTTTTGTTGTAAAAATGTGCATCTTCTGTTTGTGTGTATCCCACCCATTTGTGTCTTTTAAAACAAATTTATTTTGGTTGAAGTGTATGTCCGAGGTGTGTCCAAATTTTCTTTTGAAAGAAAAAGACCTTAATAATGCATTTAATCACGAAATATGGTTAGACCAAGAATAATTTCATACTTCCAGAACTGTCAACTTTGCCTAAAACAAACAGTTGACATCAAAACTATTTAGTTTGTCTAAATTTGCATATTGTAAATAAATGTTTTCAGATATGATATTAAGAAATCAATCTTTCAGGGGATATAAATAACTGCAGGTCATCATAATGCATAAATCAATGAGCAAAACTATAAAAAAAATGCGGGATTTATTCACATTGATACTTAAATTTCTTAGTGCCATAATTCGAACTCAATTTTGAACTCAGCTGAGGATAGAAAAAGGTGATGCAAAGGTACACCTTGTGAGTGAGATTATGTGAAAGTATCACAAAAATCTGCAAGCAGTTCAAAAGCAGTAACTGAAACAAAAGTGGAACGGTCGGACAAACGGACGGACGGACATAACAATCCCCGTTTGCGTCACCTATATATATATATATAAATAAGTCTAAATTGAAAACAACGTTCAAACCTATGATTGCGTTGAATAAAAATCGCTATTTTTATACGTGTGCATGTAAAACAAATTTCTTGGTAGAGGGGTCTAAATACAGCACAAACAACATTTTCCAAAAGACCAAAATAGTGAAAAAGTATATTTTAACAAAACGCATTTGACTAACAGGTCGAACAACGGATGTCCTTAACCCTGCTGACTGCCATTGGTGATTGCCAAATAAATTGATCACCAGTACAAAATGGATCTTAATATTTATTTAATACCAAACAGAAAACAATAAACTTGTGGAAAAGATGGTAAACCACAGATATGAGGTCCAAAAATTTGTACACCATATCCGGATTTCGACTATTAATGTCTCTTCAGTGATGTTAGGGATCGAAACGGTATTTGGAAGTCCATATAATTAACCTCAATTTAGGATAGACTTTTGAATTTTAAAGAGTCGAAATAGGATGAACGGATCATATAAACTCGAAGGAAAATATAATACAAGTCCAAACGGAAAAATATAAACAAGTCTAAATTGAAAACAACGTTCAAACCTATGATTGCGTTGAATAAAAATCGCTATTTTTATACGTGTGCATGTAAAACAAATTTCTTGGTAGAGGGGTCTAAATACAGCACAAACAACATTTTCTAAAAGACCAAAATAGTGAAAAAGTATATTTTAACAAAACGCATTTGACTAACAGGTCGAACAACGGATGTCCTTAACCCTGCTGACTGCCATTGGCGATTGCCAAATAAATTGATCACCAGTACAAAATGGATCTTAATATTAATCTAATACCGAACAGAAAACAATAAACTTGTGGAAAAGATGGTACACCACAAATATGAGGTGCAAAAATTTGTACACCATATCCGGATTTCGACAATTAATGTCTCTTCAGTGATGTTAGGGATCGAAACGGTATTTGGAAGGCCATATAATTTACCTCAATTTAGGATAGACTCTTGAATTCTAAAGAGTCGAAATAGGATGAACGGATCATATAAACCCGAAGGAAAATATAATACAAGTCCAAACGGAAAAATATAAACAAGTCTAAATTGAAAAGTATATATATATATATACAAGTCTAAATTGAAAACAACGTTCAAACCTATGATTGCGTTGGATAAAAACCGCAATTTTTATACTCGGCATGTACAACAAATTTCTTGGTAGAGGGGTCTAAATACAGCACAAACAACATTTTCCAAAAGACCAAAAAAGTGAAAAGTATATTTTAACAAAACGCATTTGACTAACAGGTCGAACAACTGATGTTCTTAAACCCTGCTGACTGCCATTGTTGATTGCCAAATAAATTGATCACGAGATGTAACATGGAACTTAATTATTAATTTAATACCAAACAGAAAACAATAAACTTGCGGAGAAGACGGTATACAGCAAACATGAGGTGCAAAAATTTGTACACCCTATCCGGATTTCGACAATTAATGTCTCTTCAGTGATGTTAGGGATCGAAACGTTATTTGGAAGGCCATATAATTTACCTCAATTTAGGATAGACTCTTGAATTTTAAAGAGTCGAAATAGGATGAACGGATCATATAAACCCGAAGGAAAATATAATACAAGTCCAAACGAAAAAATATAAATAAGTCTAAATTGAAAACAACGTTCAAACCTATGATTGCGTTGAATAAAAACTTACTTCTGAAAGTAGGGGTAATATGTGAACGTAATACTTAAATACCTAATTAAAGATCATTCAGTAAACAAGCTCTCATACCTAACGCTCCGGTCCTCTCTTCCGCACCATATAGACGGAAAAGCTTTTTTTTGTTCCGTTCGTTTTTAGGAGGATCTTGTTCTGTTATGATTTCGGACAGTGACATTGTCTTACATAAAAAAAATTTGAGCCGAGTGACTTCAACATCAACAGGGATTTTCTCTTATTATACGTCCAAGTAAGGATGAAATGCCATATGTACCATGTGATTCAGCATCCTAAAACCACTTTTATGCATTTTTCTGTAAATTTATATGACAATGACTATTGACCAATTTTTTTTATTTTCTTTGACCTTGACCTTTATACTTGACACAGTGACCTCAACGTCAATAGGGGTCTTACTCTCATTATATATGACTATATATCCAAGTGAGGTTGTAATCGCATATGTAGTATTTGATTTAGCATCCTGAAATCACTTTCTTTTCTGCATACATTGCAGTCTATATTACCGGACCCTCTCCTATGACCTTGACATTGGACAAAGTGACCTAAAAATCAACTGGGATCGTCTTCTTATAAGCTGTAACCATATATACAAGTCAGCTTCCAATCTAATGTGTAATATTTGCGTTAGCATCCGGGAACCACTTTTTTGCACAATGTTGGTCTATTTTCAGTTACTACTAACTTTTACCTTGACCTTTAATGTGTTGACCTCATCTTCCTCTCATAATATTTGACCACATATCCAAGTTAGGTCGTAACCCAATATGTAGTATTTGATTTAGAATCTGGAAACCACTTTTCTGCACTTTTTCGTTCTACGTATATGACATTGGCCATTGACCTTGTGACCTTCAAATAAATATCCTCTCATTATATGACTATATTGCTATCTAAGGTTGCAATCGGATAAAAAGTATTTGAGTTAGCAGACGAAAACGAAACGAATTTTCCTGAGGGAGGGAAGGATGGACGGCCAGACAGAAATAAGGACGGGCCAAAAATCATATACCCCGTTACCTTGTAGTGTGGAGTATAGAATAACAACACGAATAACCAGAAATAATGGAAAATACAACAGGCATTCCCACCACCAACACCCGAAAAAATAAAAAACAAAGACAATTAACAAAAGGCAACAGGCAACAAATGATTCTGATTGCCTGGCATGATACAAACAGAAACTGTGGTGAGAATTAATCAGTTTCACGTACGAACAGACTTGCTCCTTTGCTGATCTAGACCATATGCCGTTAAACCAAATTACATATTAAAAACAGGTACAATACAAATACAATCAGGATGACTGACTACTAAATTGAAAAAAGAAATCCGAATACATGACGCCATAAAGCAGGGTCAAAATGTGTTTCGTAGTACACGAACTTATCTAAGGTATTCACACCTGTTAAAAACATATTAAACTCCTAACGTACCATGATGATGATATTTTCATCCAAGGGAAATTTCATTAACATTTTTATTCGGAAAAAATTATCCATTTGAAATTTTCCAAATCCAACGCTTAAAGTGGGTGGTAAATACGTAGCTGAGTTTTCTTTTAAACCCCAAAATAAACACAGAAACAAAAACAAATTTCCCGCACTCCACTCAGAAGTAACTGTATTATAGCAGCGTCATGTAGGACTTTCTTTGAGATATTATTGTGTCTGGGAGACACAAATGATGCCCCCGCTGATGCAAAGTGTTATTTTAAAATACACAAAGTTGAGCATGGGAGCACATAGGTCTATGGTTAACTGTAGGAGGAGTTATCTGGAAACGCTATGCACCTCTTACATGTCTTATGCAAGTATATACTCCAAAAATGACAAAGTTCAAGTATCTCCCAAAAGAGCAAATATTAATAAAAATTAAAACCCTGACCACATGCACACCTTCAATATATGTAAAAACAACCAGCAAAGTGAAAACTTCCTAGTGTTCAAACTGTAGAAGGAGTTATCTTGAATAACTATATACCCATAATGGGCGGACGGACGGAAGGACGGACAGACGGACGGACGGAAGGACAGACGGACGGACGGACGGACAGGGGTAAAACAATATGCCCCCCAACTTTTAGTTGCGGGGACATAAAAAATGAAAAACAACACATTAAATAATTTCATGCGTCCGAAAGTGTATTTTATTGCGGTAATTGAAAAAATTAGTTATGCCTTTCTGATCATCATAACTGATTCTACTAGATCTTGCACATGTCCCCGATATGGTTTGTATCGGTTTCCATGACCTCGGCTTAGGTCACAATTAGAGCATTTTTTATACCACCATGATCCATTCTGTAACTGAGCACAGTTGCTACTACTATACGGGTCATTGTCCTGGTCTACTGTAGTGAATTTCATTCCGTTGTGATATGTTAGTTTGTCACCTAAAACAGTTTTATAAAAGATGTGTGAAAAATGCGAGTGAGTTGTTTTGTTTCAAAATTAGATGATAAGCAGCAATCTAGATAGAAAAGATTAATTTAAAATATTTTTTCATCAATAATTAAATTAGTCAGTAAAACAAAATAAAAATCACACTCCATAACAAAATGAAATATGAAATATCTGATTCCAAATAAAATAAAACAATCGGAGTTAACCAAAACATTATTTTACTTTTACTCGTTATTTGTTAAACGCAGAGGGTCCGAATATTGCAGAATTTAAAATAAAAAATAATCCACAATGTTATACACATCCACAGAATCAAAAAGTTATTCGGCGCCAAAGAGTGCTGTTGAATTCAATTTCGAAACAATATTTGAAGGACATAGCTTGCAATAATAAATAAATTTATATCTGAAGGACACAACATAGCTTAAGTTCCAATAGAAATTTGGTTTTGTATATAATGTTATACTTATTCATTTTGTTCAAAAACACTTCAAATTAGTAAAAATAATCCAACAAAATTACACTTTGATCCATCGTAAGACTTTTGTTATTTGGTTTTAAAAGTGTTTAGAAATACGCCACTATTTTGTTAACACCTCAAAGTACACATATTATAGTAAGGTTAATACTTTTTTTTTAAATTGTCCTAATGTGACATAGATACCGGTGGAATTGGCTATACCTTTTTACTATTTACCTGCATTTCCAGAGTAATCACCAACCGTTAATTTGTATTTCGATTTAGCATCACCTACAACAAATGTTTTGTACACTGCATACCACTTCTTGTTCTTTTTGTCAATGATATCTACTCTTAACTCATACTTTCCACTTGAAGTTAATATATGGGTGAACTTATTGCCTACAATACAAAGCAATACAAATCAATTCAATATAGCATGATACTTACATCAACTTTGTTATAAAATCATTTACTAGTCAGACACAGAGTCAGATTAGTATCAGCTTTAAAGATCCAAACCGAGATTCATAACAGAAAACCAACAAATCTGTGATGGGACCATTTGAGTCCCATTGGAATACCAGCATGTTGAAAGTACATTTTATTTGTAATAGCGGATATCAATATTATTTAGAAAAAAACGCAGTTGATAATTTCTTTGTATTTTCAATTTGTGTATTCTCCATTATTGTATCTACATGTAAAACAAAATTAATCATTGTTATTTCAGATTTTCAACACTTACCAAACCAGAATTCTTTCCGGATGTCTCCGAATCCATTTTCACACTCCGCCCATTTTCGATTATAACCACCAGTTCCATTTAATCGTTTATGAATAACCTAAACAAACAGACTGAGGTAACAAATATACATTGCTAAACAATGAAACTAGTTTGCTTTCAGTATCTGCGAACATTCTTTGTTCCGGTATGATATTTATTGGTATAATTTCAAACCTTTAATTTACATGTGCACGTGTATGTCATCAGTCAGAAAACTTTTCAGTAGTTGTCATGCGTCTAAATTTAATGTGTTGTGTTATTTGAAGAATTTTGTTTAGATAGCAGATCTTTGATAGTCGCTATTACTTTCACTAACAACCTTATAAGACTCGGTGATGACGTTTTTAAAGCTTGACATATTGTACAGACACCAATCTATTGTTAACCACTGTATATTGAAATCCAGATGTAAATGTATTATGTCTACTTTCTTTGTTATATTGTTATCTCGTTGACTTTAACACCAGATTAAAAAAATTTAAACTTTTGAGATTGTAGAATGATACATTTTGCCAAAAAATATAAGATTAAAGTAAACATACAGTCCAGCCTCCCCCGTCTGTCGTCATATCACAATAAGCCTAGACAGAGCTTGTTCCTCCAAGATGAAGTGTGTACACTCCACTTTCCACAATAAGCCTGGACAGAGCTTGTTCCTCCAAGATGAATTGTGTACACTCCACTTTCCACAATAAGCCTAGACAGAGCTTGTTCCTCCAAGATGAATTGTGTACACTCCACTTTCCACAATAAGCCTGGACAGAGCTTGTTCCTCCAAGATGAATTGTGTACACTCCACTTTCCACAATAAGCCGTTCCTCCAAGATGAATTGTGTACACTCCACTTTCCACAATAAGCCTGGACAGAGCTTGTTCCTCCAAGATGAATTGTGTACACTCCACTTTCCACAATAAGCCTGGACAGAGCTTGTTCCTCCAAGATGAATTGTGTACACTCCACTTTCCACAATAAGCCTGGACAGAGCTTGTTCCTCCAAGATGAATTGTGTACACTCCACTTTCCACAATAAGCCTAGACAGAGCTTGTTCCTCCAAGATGAATTGTGTACACTCCACTTTCCACAATAAGCCTAGACAGAGCTTGTTCCTCCAAGATGAGTTGTGTACACTCCACTTTCCACAATAAGCCTAGACAGAGCTTGTTCCTCCAAGATGAGTTGTGTACACTCCACTTTCCACAATAAGCCTAGACAGAGCTTGTTCCTCCAAGATGAATTGTGTACACTCCACTTTCCACAATAAGCCTAGACAGAGCTTGTTCCTCCAAGATGAATTGTGTACACTCCACTTTCCACAATAAGCCTAGACAGAGATTGTTCCTCCAAGATGAATTGTGTACACTCCACTTTCCAGTTTTTCTTTACTTTTCTCCTTTATTTCTGTACAGTCTTTGTATTTTGGCTTCTTCTGTGGTAATACACCACAAACTTCTGCGCGATAAATTAAATTTTGCATTGTTGAGTTTATTTTTGTTGAATAGTAATTTAGTTAATATTTTAACACAAGTTCATTTTTGTTAAATTGTAATTTAGTTAAGATTGTACAGGCATGAAAATACGGATATTGTTTGATTGAATTTCTGTGCTAAAATAAACTGTTGACACAGAGATATGTCTCGCCTTTCGGCATAAAATTCAGAAAAAAATTTGATGGACAGTGACATGGTTTATTAATTCAGTCGCTGGACCATAATCTAGTGGGAAAGGGCTGAAAATAATCATCTAACTGATATGTACTGATAGTAATGCAACTTCATACAAAATTGTCACAATTGATCTATCACAATTAGGTCCTATCAAACTAACTTAGTAAGCAGAAAATTTATCATTGAGAATTGCTAATTAAGTTACTGGACCATGACATATAGAACATGGCCTCGAAATAGTTGTCAAACTGATATGAACCGATTGTAATGCAACTTTATATCAAATATCAATGACCTATCACAAGTAGTTCCTATCAAACTAACTTAAGCAGAAAACTTAACAATTGTTGACGCCGTCGCTGCAGCCGTCACCACAGCCGTCGCCGGAAAAGCAATCCCTATTTTTCGCTTTCCGCGAATTTCTTCGCAGGCGAGACAATGATTTATAACTCATATAGGTTAAGGAATATGTCTCCCTCATGCATAGTTTTATTTCGTTGTCCAGATTTGGCTTCACTTTAGGTCCTTTATAGCTTGCACAGCTATACGACGTTTTTATTTGGATTCGGATTTTCGGATATGCAGGCCTCGAGCATCACTAAATAGCGCTAATGGTCGAAATGCGCATCTGGTGCAGTAAAATTGGTACCGTTAACGTCATTGAATCATTAGATATTTCGATTATACATATTAGAATTATTAAGCAAATTCTTTATGAATTTTTCAATACGTTAATAAAAACTATAATGCCTTGAAACCTAAAATGAAACGTTACCTTTTGCATCTCGTTTTAGTAGTTCAAATAATCTCTTGGTTTCACCAGGACCATTTAATTCTTGAAAATAAATATCAAAACCAACAACTAACAAACGAATATATAATGAAACGCCTCCATAATGAACATTGATTTATTTTGATAACCCCATAATTATTTCATTTCAATAATGTTGATATTCTTGGCTAGTTAACGGAATAAAAGAATTCAGGAATTTATTCTAGAATTAATATTAGAACAAAATAATGCTGCTTAAATAATAATGTTTAAAACGATCAGACATTTTTCTCCTGTTGGTTCACAATCACATGTTTTCATAAAAATACCCCGAACCTTTTGATATTGTTTACAGGGTTATAGCATTATAAATAAGTAATCTATGTTTCTATTTAGAAGACGCAGTGGTCTGTGTTTTGATTGAGATACGACGATAAAACAAATATGTTAAATTGATACATCTTTCTGTAATAATCTTCATCGGGTAGTTCTAGACAGAAACCGATCACATGCATTACAATGCATTATATGAGCATCCCATCTAAGTGAGCCAAATTTGAAGAGCATAAGCCTTCTAAGCTCAATGATTTTGGCATGACACGCACCTACTATTTTTAATAACTAATTGACGTACCTTTAACAATCCACTTGATTTCATTTTTCAGTTGTTTATTCAATTTAACAATGTCCTTGTAAAATCCAATGTCTTTAAAACAAAAATTCAATATACATTGTTTAGCTAGCTATAAACCCAGGTTTAATCCACAATTTTCTACATAAGGAAAAGCCTGTACCAATTCAGGAATATGACAGTTGTTTTCCATTCGTTTGATGTGTTTGAACTTTTGATTTTGCCAATTGATAAAAGACTTTCCGTTTTGAATTTTCCTCGGTATTTTTGTTATTTTACTTTTTTATATACTATCAAAGCAAGTGATAGTGTTTTTTGGAAAAGTAAACTTATTAAATTTACCAAAAACTCATATTTTCATTATTCATACTTCATAAAATGCAAAATTACAGCATATGGATGTGCAACAGAAGATATATTTATATGAAACCTAAAATAGTATATTCATAATAAGCTTACTGTTTAAAATAGTCTGTGTATGCTTCTTCAGATGTTTAACAGTTTGATTAGGGTTGTCTTGAATGCATATACCTAGTATAGAAAATATCATAATGCTCAACTAAAATCTTTTCAGTATAATAAATAATAATTAGTAAATAAAATCGATACTATCATAAAGCATGAAAATAGCTTGTGTCCAACAAAATAATGCTTACATAGTAACAATTAATTAGGAAAACTTGTTTTATAAGCTTTAATTTGTAAGTGAGTCGAACTAGCTGATACACACCAACATAATATTTATTTTCTTTGCAAACAATCAATAACATTCATTTAATTAGAAGGATTTTTCGATATATACGCTACTATTCCTACACGAAATTATTCTAATATGTATACGTGTACCTTGTAAAGCATGTATCATATTGTCAATCTTTGAATCCATTTCTGATGATTCACGATCATCTACAACAGATTGTAATAGTTGTGAGGTAAATTTTTTCATTATCATGATTTTTGTCGACGGACATTTTCTATAATGATAAGTACTGTTCTTAAAGGGGCTTTAATGAACCAATCTGGCTTCCGGCTATCATCAGATTTCCTCTTTTGTCTGTAGTTTCTGTTTAGACTTATCGTAAAAAGTTAATATTTTACGTGAAAACAATGTCAAAGAACAATACTGAATAACCCTCTCTTCATTAACTGCAGGATAAAAAGATACAAGCATTTGTGATTTTATAATTTATAAAAGCAGAAATCTATTTTGTCGATTAGTTTAACATGTTTAACAATGCTCCGGTCAAACTATTCAATGGACAACCCCAGACAGATTCTCTGTGTCTTTCCAAAGCAAGCATGGTTTTCTTTGGTTGCCGTCTAACATAATTATATTCCATTTAATGCTATTAACTTTAACCAGACCGTAAGTTTTCTCTGTTGTATTGTCTCACATTTTCCCCTATGCCTTTCAAAGCTTTTACACTGTAAGTAAGTAAGTAAGCAAGTAATTTTTATTAAAATAAAGTCCACACATTGGACTATCATCAAATACAACAATTACAAATGAACACAAAATTATACATGTGTTTGCATCACTGTATGAGTTTTGCTAATTGTTGAATGTCGTAAATTGACCTGAACTTGCTTTACATGATCATCCTTTTTTTTTTTTGGGGGGGGGGGGGGGGGTCTTTTGTCAGACAGAAATCTCAACGGCAATCATACCAAATCTCCTTATTTTTGAAGTAAAACTATTATGACGAAACGGTACCAAAATTGTAGACTTTACAAATTATTTGTACGAATAAAACTAGTTATTATAGTAAAGCTTTAAAGTATGTCAGCATAGTAGGAAAAGGTCAAAATACGAAATGTAGTTGATTTTAAAATGTCAGCCCAAATAACCATTGAAAAAAGTATTTCTAATTCTAGTGTGGAAATAACGATTATGTATCATTTTCATTAAAATTAAAAAAATATCAGCGCTTTCATTATTATTATTATTATTCATTTCAATCATTTTAAACAGTGCAAACAGACCATTTTATATTCATAAATATATATGACATAAAAGTTATGTTAAAACAACTTGCAATTTGGTCAATATTTTAGAATAACGTTTTACCTGTACAGTAAAAATATGTTCAATTGATCTCTTCTGAAACAAAACTATAGAATTCATTTTTTTTTATTTTGTTCATTGTACATGTTGTATATGTTTCAAAGTTTACCTTAAATTTTCGGAACGAAAGAAACAAACAAATAAAAACAAATATATTGCTTCTTTCTCGATCGACCATAATATCTTTCCACAACCAATTTATTCGTAATGTTCTTATCTGTGTAATTTTGATATTTCATTTAGTTAAAAGTTTTATTTAAAACTATTGACTTCATTAAACATGCATCCTCTAAAGAATAAATAAATCCTTGTAAAAATCGTGGGACTTAACAAAATACAGAAATTATGTCAACTGAAATCTGTCTTTTAAGTTTACTATGTTTGTCTTAAATTTTAATAAATCATTTATACATATACAAATTTACGGTACATCCATATTAAATGATCATAATAAGAAATAAAACCCTTGGCAAATACCAAGAACTTAAATCTTAATTGGTCCGAAAATTGTGATAACAAAAAAGAAATTTGAAACTCTTATACAAAATAAAATCCTACAAATAAAATGAGGGATCTTACAAGAAAGAGTATGATAAATTGTCCGTTGGACTGAAAGAGGCAATTCAAAAATAATCAATAACTTAAAGGTGTTTTTGGTAATATTTAATGCTGTGTACAAAAAAACTGACATATTTTCCTTACCTCTAGCAAGAGTAATCTCTCCAGAAAAACAAACAAATAAAAAGATATTCAGCAAGAAGACGCCAATTGCAGTCATTTTACTATAAGAATTAACTGTGTACTGTATAACGCCAAAAATAAACTGAAGTATGGGGCCAACGGTTTTGTATACACATTGATAAGTACTTGTTTTAATTATTACTTTGCATGTATGATAAAGTCCAAAGTATATTGTTTCAAAACTGTAAGTAGTTCTGTTACTTTAATTCTTGGAATTTCTATTATTACAAAGGTAAGAACGCTGCTGCGCACACCATTTATAAGGGAGTTACTGACTTTCTCTCATTAGTAACAGTTTGGGCACTCTTCTAAGCTACTGTACCTTTCGATATTTCGATAAGATTTTCTCGGAATTGCAACAAATATCAATTTCTGGTAAATATGTACATCACATGTCTAAATACAAAAAATTGTATTTCAAAGTATCCTTCTCGTGCGAGCGTGTGTGTGTTTTTCCTAGGGGAGAAGACGGACAAGTTAGTGGACCCGTACAGCTTGATTAACTTCCAATATTACTAACTGATTACACAGCAAGCAACACTTCTCTTAGTTACAGCAGTAAAACACACACCTTAGTAGTTAAAATTCAGTAAAAATGGCAACGGCAAACACATCGAATTCACTTACCGTGTTTTAATGGTCTAACGTGTGGCAACTCGTGAATGATGGCGACCACAAAACTTTTGGAAATATAAAATCACCCTAAACGTCCTATAATCCAACTTCTATTATGACCCCGATTTATAAAGAACGTGCATATGTCTGGTTTGCGCGCACCAATAATTACTGTTTTAGTGTACGATAGACAATTGACCAAAAATTTAAAAACTTAACCTATGTCCTCGTTAATGACAATAGGTGCTTGAGAGATGGATGTCCCTTTTTCTTTTCTGTTCTTTTTGCGTTTAAGATATTGCTATAAATTAACTTTGATATTCAAATTTATGGTTTATTATTTTACGCATTCTTGATTTTATCCATAACTGTAGTTTATATATGCTACCCTACCCCTCTTCTTTTATTTTGGAAAATCTTAAACGCAAAACGATGTTGGGTTCCATGCCCCAAGCCGCATGTGTTTCATGACGCCTGGATTAATCTGAATATCTAAATCAATGGCATATATATAATGAAAAACCTTTTCGGAGTTTGTCTAGTTTTGTCTGTACTACTGATTCAAATTAACGGCGTGCACAATTATTTCTTGCAAATGGCAGTATTGTATGTTACATCATGTCATGGGCAAGATTATCTATTTTCAGCTCTTACCAGGTCAGCACATTCATTTCTAAACATCGACCTGATCGAATATCTAATGATGGTACCAAGAACATGCGATTCGAAAGGGTAGGCATTGGGTTGATATGTCGTTTGCCTTACGATGAATAACAAGCACTCTGAGAGTACTGCATGGCAATGCATAGTCCCCTACTGGTTAAAAATTAATTGTACTGGAACAAAATGCTAACTTAATCAGTAATTTGTAATATTTTCCATATTAAAAAAGTTCAAATATCTCCTGGTGCAAATAATTCTTTTATATATATACTAAAATATATGATTTTTTTTCTTGTGAATGAAGTTACATACCAAATACCAAATAGATATCTTCAAGCACGAAGAATACAGTGTGGAAAACTGATTTGCCTGACTGACAGATGGAAGGACGGACAGAGTGTAAACCTAAAACCCCCTTCGGCTTTGCTGGTAGTGGACTAAAAAGGGCATGCACGTAAAAGAGTAATTATGTCTTTCACAAATTGAAGCCTGGCATTAACAGAATTGAATATGCCAGTTTGTTTTTGGTATCCGGTCGTTCCGTCCCCAAACCGATCCGGCCCCAAGTCGATCCGGCCCAAAGTCGATCCGTCCCAAGTCGATCCGGCCCACGTCGATCCGTCCCTACGTCGATCCGGCCCCATAATAAAATATGAATAAACTATATTGACTTTGGAGGATTTTGTGACAAATTTTAACAGTATAAATGGAATTTGTAAAAAGTATCGTTGATGGATGACAACAGGTAAGTGAAGTATTGGAGTACCAGTCAAAGAATTATTTTACATCGATACGAAAATGAGTGTGATTGTGTCTATTTGTATAGCAGCTTCAACATATTAATATGAAGTTATTTTCCATGATAACTTTGAATATCATGGCGATTTTTATTTTATTTAATTCACACACAGAATAGCTAAATAAATATTTACAGTCCAATGGAACCTATAAAATTTAACTCATCATAATGACTTGTTTAATCAAATCATTAGTCTATAATTGGTTTGTTTATTCAACAATTGTCTAATGATTGTGAACTAAGGTAATGCCACTCGTAATCGTACTTGTACCGTTGTGTATGTAACTATTTGTTATTACACAGGATGAAAGACTTGTTAGGATCACAGTCAATTGAAAGAAAATGCAAATTACTGCTGATTAATGTTGATGTCTGTTGATTGTACTAAATTCTGTTATATACGTTTTTATTATAATTATACCCAATAATCTTGAAAACTTGTAATCAGAGACATATAATACATGTATTATATGTATTATATGTCTCTGTTGTAATGAAAACATAATCAACATAGTTGTTTTAAACTCATCTAAAGAAAATATTTGTAAAATGCCAATTTTTTTTACCGTTTACCTTTTACATTATAATAAAATTCATAAATATTTATGAATTACAATTAATATATATCTTTATTTTTATTCCTTATAAATATATTTTTTTATTGGGCCGGAACGACTTTAAATATGGGCCGGATCGACGTTGGGCCGGATCGACGTGGGACGGATCGACTTGGGCCGGATCGACATGAAAGCTTTGTTTTTAACTTATTTGCACTATCCTTTTGATTTATCTAGGCATGGCTTATTCTAGTATATTGCGATTTGATTTAACTTTCACGCAGTACCGTCTGACCTAAACCCAAAAAGGAAAGAAAATCAAATATATAACGGAATACTGCATCAGATATACAAATTTGAACTACAATACATCGATCAGCTTGGACGTAGATAATGTTCTCAAAGATCTTATATAATACATATTTCGACGTTCTTTTTGCTCAATTGATCTACTAGGTAGGACATTTTTTTCGGATTCCATTGATTTAGCTTGTTTTTTTTTCGAGAAGGTAACAGATGATACTTTTTTGAGGGAAATCAAAAGCCCAAATAATTTTTTTTTCATCATCATCCATGCAAATATTCCTCCAAGTTGAAAATATAAATTTCAAGAAGCTGTAATATTATTTCACTAAGAGTACAATTTTCTTTGGACTTAATAACACAGACCACAATGGTTTACTGAGGTATAGAAATATGGTTATCCCTTGGTCTTTTTTCCAAGCGGCAGTAAAACTCTTACCAAAGAGGGGTGTCCGTTTTGCTAAGTGGGATGTATCAATTCAAAGCCATGTCTGGTCAGAATGGGGAAATTAAATCTGATGCCGATAGCTTCTTGCAAGACTAAATTTCTGTCCCTATCCAAAATCCGCATTTTCCGGTGGCATTCCTAATTTCCCATCCATTATTTAGGTCGACCCCCTATGCAGAACCTTTCTATTGTATGTATTGTTAATTTGTTCTCATCCTGAACATGCATGAAATATTTGCCACTGGACGTTAAGGTAACAACAATCAATCAATCAATCAATCTATGACACATACTTAACCACAAAAACTTAACATTGTCAAATGAACCAAGAAAATGATGTCAAGGTCAAACGAACACTGCAATACAAACATGTACACCTTACAATTATTCCATACACCAAATATAATGGACCCTTTGCTTCTAGTATCTAAGAAACATACCTGTACACAAACACTAAAAATTGACCGAAAAACAATGAAAATTAGGTCAAGGTCAGATGAACCTTTCCATACAGACATGTACACATTGCAATCAAACACTACACAAAATATAGTTAAACTATTGCTTTTAGTATCAGAGAAACATGCATAGAAACACACTTAACATTGACAAATAAACCATGAAAATTAGGTCAAGGTCAGATGAATTCCCAATTTGCAATCAATTAAGAACATTGGTATGAAGGCATCCAGGTCTTCTAATTTCTAAAATATTCAATGAGCATTACCTGAAGGTGGATGGCCAAATAACCTACGTGGAAATGAGAAATGCCAATGCCAATACAACTGCATACCAAATACTATTTGACTATGATAAGGTTCCCTTTAAACTGACCTAAAAACATGTAAAATATATATGCTAAAGTTTCAGTCAATGAACCATGATGAGGGGGTAGGGCCATATAATCTACATTGAAATCAGATATGTAAATGCTAATAAAAATGCATACCAAATACCATTGACTTACCCTTGGAGGATCATCTTATTACAAACTTGAACATGTAAACAATGCAAAAGTTTCAGTCAATTGACCATGACTATGGAGGCAGGTTCAAATAATCTCCATTGAAATGAGATATAACAATGCTTATATAAAAACATATCAAATATAGATCTACCACTAGTGGTTCCCCTTAAACTGACCAAATCATAAACTAATACTTAGTGTGTGCCACTGCTGGAAACAGCATGCCTTAGTCTTGCTTTTTCTACTTTGTCAAGGTGAGACAAAAACTATGAAAAAAGCAATCAGATGTCTACAAAACACTTTACAGAAAACTAAAGATTGAGCAACATGAACCCCACAAAAAACCAGGGATAAACTCAGGTGCTTAGGAAGGGTAAGCAATGACCACTCTACTAGTGGCACCTATTGTGTTGGTTGTGGCTATAACAAGTGGAACATATCCATGATCATCTGTGATACACATACATGTAATTCATACCGATCAACCAAATGATGAGGGCATTGGTAAAACGTTAGAATAGATGACTACAAATTTAACAATTGGAACCCTTTGTTTAATAGCATCCTTGTAAGAAGCAACCATCTATCAAGAAAATAATGACAGGAATCTCAAGCTATTGAATATGGTATGAAGTTGAGGATAGTTAATAAAGTTTATCACTATTTTACGAAATTCTCCTTTGATCTTACTGACTGATAATTTCCTTTCCCAGCACAGTAGAGTGATAT